GCGTTTCCCGTGTGGCGAGAACGTCCGTAACGACGCGAAACATTTCGTGCAGATTGCTGTCGTGTACCTTGTGATGAGAAATAGAGATGTTTTGGAGCTGCGGAAGAAGGCCAGACGAATCCTTGAGCCGGAGGAAAAGAGCCGTGATGGTTTTCGCTTCAGTCACAGCCAGCTCGACATTGTCGAGCGAGGGTAGCGCTTCGAGGAGCTGGATGGCCGGCGTCGTCAGGATTTCGGAGACATAGTGGAGGCGCAGGCGACGCAGCTGACAGCCAGATCGCGAAACGAAGAACTGGGTGCTCGACAGATCGCTCGAGTTCAGGGATCTGCCAGCAATGTCCAGTTCCTCGAGTGCTGGCATGACCACACATGGGAAAATAGCGGAGGGGGACGCGCCCGTCAGGGTGAGAGAACGGAGATGAAGCAGGGAGTGTGTGGAAAGCGGCGAAGGGGATGTGCCGGGGCCCTCTAGGATTTCGAGGACACAGTTGACGAGTCTCGGGGTGTGGCCCAAGCACTCGACACAGTCCTGAGGCGTAGCCGAGACTAACTCGAGACTGGTCAACTGTACCCAAGGCAGAATTAAATTTGACGGGCGGAGCCAGCGCCCAAGACGGAGGTCAGTCAACATCGGTGCGTGCTGGAAGGCAGCGATCGGATCGTCGACTGTACGGGGTACGCTGGAAGCATCGAGCGCAAGGCGCTGAAGTATTGGAATGGAAGCAGCTGTGGAGAACTGCTGGAATATGTTGAACGGGAGATTAAGGGTCATATCTCGCCACTGCTGACGATAGCCGTCCAAGAGACCGGCGAGCGCTCCATTTGGGTCTCTCTTCGGGTTCGAGACCATCATGGACAGCGGTTGAGTTTTCGCCCAAGAAAGCCAGCTCTCGAGGCATGAGACCCACCATGAGTCGATGAAGCCTGACCGGTCCCGGAGCCCGGGTTTTCCGCCAAATCCAAGACACACATGACTCCAGAGTTGCGGCGTCGACAAGGCGATTACTCTCCAGTCTCAGCAGATTCTGGTGAGCAGAATGGGCGGATCCTCCAACACCTTAGAGGAATTGGCGTCGTATGATGGAGGGCCGCCTGGAAGCTCGCTGGCTGGAAGACAATGCATAAAGATTTTGGTCGTAAGCTCGACGGGTAACGTGAGAACTGGATACATGGTTGAACTGCGTCTACTGGAATCTGATTGGAGAAACAACGTATCGAGAAGATTAGACTTACCGGCAGTGCGGTCGCTGATCCTAAGCTGAACGGCAGCTGGACACCGAAATCGAGCAACCGCCTGGTGACCTCTGGTGACGATGAGTGCAAGGAGAGCCTCCTGATTTCATCAGTGATGTCGGCTGCCGTCAAGTTGCCGCGATCCGATGCGAACCTTGTTCTCACCCACTCTCACAATATCTGCCCAACATTATGTTCAGAAAAGGCGGTTGTATCAGTTCATTTTGGCTACGCTACATAAAAAACTGAGTTCTCTATTGCTTCCCTCAGGCTCTCATTCTATTGGGGCATCTTTCATCCAGTACGTGCGCGGATTTTGCAGCCTGGATTAGCGGGACCGACAGAACTACATCCTGGATCTCGACACCTCAGTCATGTAACTTTCGTGTTCTATTTTGAGCATAGTCGGAAATCGAAGTCTTTCGTGGCGCCCATCTTACACGTTCGGATTTTAGCGTCCGGGAAAGGCCGCACATTTAAGTTAACGTACAGCCTCAGGTACGATCTTACAGCTTCTATTCATATCGGAATTTTTACATGTATCCACACTCTCAATTCAGCGGCGCTTGTGGTACCCCGGACGACTTGGAAAGCACGCGGACCGATATCAGCGGGTCTCTTGATACTAAATTTATACGCTAGGTGTGCGATGCTTCGGAGAACTCGACCAGGTCTACAGTGTACAGTAACACAATCCGGACGCTCAATATCCACAAGTCAAAGAATTATTTCGGCTGGCTCTTCAATAGTCAAGCTCCCTATTAATAGTCATTGGGCTCCCCGCGTTTGCATTCAATACCCTTGTAAGTAGCTCTCTTCACCCAGTATATTTTGTTAGTCACTGATCCCTCCGCGAGCGAACACTTCGGAACATGACCTGTTACTTTCGCTCCATCCATCTCCATCAAAAATCTAACTTGGTGTGCCAGAGCCATTGGAGAACGGGTTTCCTAAGCGGTGTCCGACTATCGGCTTTCCGTTCTCTTTCCGCAAATGTGGAGGGTACATTATTTATATGCAGATGCGACTGGAAAGTCCCGAGGCCCGCTGATGCTCTCTCAACTTCCAGGACTTCTCTCGGTCGTCGTCTCGCTTTTCCTGCTGCAGGGCATCCCTCGGACCCTTGCAACGAAATGCACCCATCCTTCCGTCCGGAGGGAGTGGCGTACCTTCACCAAGGCAGAGAAAACGGAGTGGATCAGGGCCGTGAAAGTTCGTTCATCGCCCACCAGACGTTTTTTTTGCTCACCGCGCGCGGGTTTCAGTGTCTCGGAAATCTACCCCATGATGACGCACTATCGCCTACCGTTAATCCTCCGGCAATCGGGCCCGTCAATGTCTCTGGGTCTTACTACGATGACTTTGTTTACATTCACATGGTGAGTCCACGATCTATTCAAGTTCGAGCTCCCTAATTAGAGCGTTCCAGGGTAAGGTTGAATTGGATGGCAAATTATAACGCTAACCCATTTCTCCGCCGCAAGATCTCAATACCGAGGTGCTCAGGCCTGGATGCTATAAAGATGACTCTTCCAACGCCATCTCCCACAGATCCACTTCACTGGGCTTTTCCTCCCATGGCATCGCTGGTATGTCCACGTATACGAAGTCGCGTTGAAGACCAAATGCAACTTCCGCGGAACATCGCCGTATTGGAATTGGACCAAAGGTACTTGTGCCAACCTGTTCAATTTCGACATGAAACTAACTCACCCAAACCAGATGCGCCAAACGTATACGAATCCACGCTGCTGAAAGACTCGGATCCTGTGAGCGGCTTGGGCGGTTGGGGCGACCCAACCAACGACTTCCGCGTCCCCGACGGCGCGTTCTCGTCCTCCTCCTCGTTCCACCTCTCGTATCCCTCCCCGCACACGATCCGCCGCAACTTCACATTGCAGCCATACATGAACTTCCCGCTCCCGGACTTCATCACGGACCCGCTCCTCGAAGCCAATGCTACGTTCACCCAGGCGGAGATCAACAAACTCGTGAATGGGTTCGTCGGGGATTTCAAGGGGTTCCAGACCCATTTCGAGGCGTTCAATGTGCGTTTTGGGAGATCGGGGTCTAAATTCTGGGATCAAGGCTGACTTGTGAATCGGTAGGGATCGCACGGAGGAGTGCATTCGATCGTAGGCGGGTGAGTATCTGGTTCGGTCGTCTATCAGTTATATAACGGAGAGTTGGGTAGTGACCTAGGTGGGATCTGTCCTGCGACCGCCCCTCCGGGCTGCGTGGGTGGACCAACGTTCTCCGCAAATGGTCGGAATTGCATTTTGTTATGATTTCAACTCCAGAACTCAAAATTATGATTAGATATCCTGTTCTGGCTTCACCACGCAGTAAGTCCCAAAATGTACCCAGGTGTTCTTAGCTCGAACTCATGCGATTGATCACAGATGGTTGACAAGATCTGGTACTCCCATGCTTGCTCATCGGGCTACTAAAGGATGGACAACTAATCCCGCGACAGGTTCGATTGGCAGCACCGACATCCCGCGAACGCCAGAGCGTTCCAAGGTGGCTCCGTAGAGGCGCTGTAAAACGTCACCATATTCAACATGTTTCCCAATGGCCAGGCCCCGTTCCTCACTGTTCGTTCTTCCATCTCTCAAACCAACAAACTTTATTGACCGACCCCGTTGTTTTGAAGTTGAACTCAACAATGCCCTCGGATGGCCTTTTCCCACGGGCTAAGATATCCGATGTTATAAGCACGACGGGTGGAATTTTTTGCTACGTCTATGAGTGATTGCGGTTCGGTGGGTTCAACTTGTCGGGTGGGCGCAGTTCAATTTTTCTTTCCGAACGCGGTGTATGTATTTCGATCCCGTACTTTCCCTTGAACGACTGTAATGCGAAGATTTCAAACTTGAGGGATACATAGCGCGTGAGTAAACCAACTTCAGTTTGGACAGCCTTTGTCGTCGGATATTAGGGAGTTTGACCGTGCGGATCCGGAGTGGAGGATCGCTTAAATTCGGGAAAGGGGCGGGGGTGAGTTCGAAGATAATGCACATATCTTGGCTTCCAAGTCCGTTGTTCGACGGGAAATGAGAGAGATACGAGGAGATACGGAGGTTGAAATTGTCACGTGGCCTCGCATTTCACTTGAAATTGAATCCTGAGAAATGCAACCGTTGATTCGGGCTGGTTGCATAGGCTCTCCCACGGATGTCAGTATCGGTATCGAGCTCGGAGTTAAGGGATCCGTCCTCTGGACATCAGGTAGCCTCGGAGTGGAGTTGAAAGACTCGGACATTTGAACCCCATCTAAAGACCTCATGCTCTTGGATTGCAATGACCTGTGGAACTACGCCTATCGACACTATAATCCATGAAGTCCTCATCTTAAATAGGAGATCCCCGTTCGATTCGGGGCCAGGTCATTTGCTATCTTCCTCCTTTTAGCTAATTTTGTGTCTAGGCTCGAAGATGCTGGTATAGACAGAAGGTAGGTAGGTGGAGGGATGACTTGTAAGTGGAGTTGGAACCACGCCTGCTTTCTGTAGAAAATCCCCTTGACCTTATAAGCAGGAGATCCGGGGCCAGGTCATACATGATTCTCAAAGTGTTTTTTCCCCCGTTAGTGCGTAAAGAAATAGAGCAAGTATTTGGGCGGGGTGCATTCAATTTCAATTTGAATCAAGATTGGGTTCCAGATCTCTTTTGATTGTGCATTTTCAGTTGTGGCTATTTTATCCGAGGGTGGAACTTGAAAGAATTGAGGGGGTAATTATTCAAGTTGGTTGGAACAAAGGAATGACCTGGTGGTGGAGTTGGAACCACGTTTACTTTCCGTGGTACACATTCGGGAAATATAAGTAGAGGACCCTCGTTTGATCCGGGGCCAGGTTATTATCCCATCTCTCTGCTCTTTTTTGGTATGCAAAAAGGAACAGAGCGAGTACTTAGGTCAGGTTCATTCAATTTAAGTTCTATTCTCTTTTATTCTGCAGTTTGTAACCTGAAGCATGGTTTATTCAACCAGAGGCTGGAACTTGGGGTATTCATTCAAGTTGGTTGGGACAAATGAATGACCTGGTGGTGGAGTTGGATCCATATCTACTTTCTGTAAAGCCATATTTGGAAGATATAAGCAGTAGACCCTCGTTCGAATCGGGGCCAGGTCATAATATAGCGGCGAGGTCTTTTTATTTATTTTGTCTTCCTTCCGAGGCTCGAAGACTCTCATAAATAGCGAGGTTGGGCTAGGGTAAGAATGATCTGGTTGTGGAGTTGGTACCACGCCTGCTTTCTGCATGAGCGAAGGTTCCCTGTAAGCGGGAGTGCGCCGTTCGATTCGGGGCCAGGTCGTTTCCGTTGATCTAATTTTCTCTTTTCTTTGGTGTGCACGAAGAAACAGAGGTGGTGCTCAATTAATTTTGATTTGAACTCGTGGTCCGATCTGGGTTTGATTTTGATTCTGCATTCACTTGAGGTAACTTGAGTTGTCGGAGGGTGGAACTTGAAAGAATTAAGGAGTATTTATTCAAGCTAGCTGGGCTGGATGAAAGACCTGGTGGTGGAGTTGGTACCACGCCTGCTCTCCGTATGTGAGAATGAGCCAATTTCTGAGCAGGAGGTCCTCGTTCAATTCGGGGCCAGGTCATGGTAGTGAGCATTTTTGTTTCCTTTCTAGGATCAAAAGACACCAATAAATAGAAGGGTTGGGCTAAGGTAGGAATGTCTTGGTGGTGGATTTGGTACCGTGCTTGCTTTCTGTATGCGAAGGTCCAATTCAAGCGGGAGTTCCTCGTTCGATTCGAGGCCAGGTCATTCCAATTTGCGCGCAATCTTTTTTTCTTCCTTGGTGTGCACGAAGAAACAGAGGTGGCGTTCAGTGTCAATCAATTTTGATTTTGAACTTGTGGCCGATCTGGGTTTGATTCTGATTCTGCATTTCACTGTAGATAAAGTTGGAACTTGAGAGAATCAATGGGTATTTATTCAAGCTAGCTGGATTGAATGAACGACCTGGTGGCGGAGTTGGTAGCACGCTTGCTCTCTTTATGCGGAGAGTGAACCAATTTCTGAGCAGGAGGTCCCCGTTCAATTCGGGGCCAGGTCATGGTAGTGAGCATTTTTAGTTATTTTGTTTCCTTCCCAGCTCGAAGACTCTGATAAATAGGGAGGGTGGGGGTCACTAAGAATGACCCGGTGGTGGAGTTGGATCCATGCCCACCTTCGATTTCCCAGATAAGTGGTTAAGTAAGAGAGCCCCGTTCGATGCGGAGCCAGGTCATGGTAGTGAACATTTTTAGTTATTTTGTTTCCTTCCCAGCTCGAAGACTCTGATAAATAGGGATGGTGGGCTAGGGTAAGGAGGACCTGGTGGTGGAGTTGGTACCACGTTTGCTTTCCGTGGTCAAAACTATTGAATTTAAGCGGGATGTCCTCATTCGAATCGGGGTCAGGTCATGTTTCAGGAGGAGTGTTTTTTTCTCCCTTGATGGGAAGGGTTTACTTGATTCTGTCGAGTGGTTTTATTTGTACAATTTATTTTCTTACTACCTACAACAGGCGCGAATCTATACAGTATACTGCGGCAGACTGCGGCTCGCATACGCCATCAAATCGCAAGACGGATAAGCGGTAATCAGATAACGATAAGGATAAGCGACACAAAGCGGTGTATTTGCGCGTGTTGACCCCGAGCCTTCCGAGGCGCGTCTGTTTCCGAATCCTCTGCGCGTCGGTGTCCGGCGTTCTGATATTTCGTCGAATCCTACTGCTTCGCGCATCGTCGCATTCGCATTCTCACGCATCAAGACTCCGTTCGAAGACTGTACATTGAGATACGGAGAGACTAGGTGCGTAGCCTGTGCTCGGGATGTGGGCGTTTACTGAAGGAGTGGAAGCAGGGAAGGACAAGACGAGCAAGCGAAGACGCGATGGGGAAGAAGAAGCAGCAGCGCGCGCGTGGGGCGCCCGCACCGTTACTGGCAGCAGTAAAACACACAGACACCCACGTCCACGGAGAAGAGGAGCTGGAGCTGACGGCGGCGGCGCTGGCGGCGACGAACGAGCTGATCGCCACGGCGAAGGAGCTGTACATGTCGCTGGGGGGCGGCGAGTCGGGGGAGGATGGGGAAGGCGAGGGCGAGGGCGAGGGGGAGGAGGCGCGCGAGGTCGATACCTCGGACCCGCCGCTGGACTCTGCGGACGCAGCGTACTGGCGGGCGCTGCCGCGGAGCGTGCGCGAGTTCGTCGGGGGGGTGTACAAGATGAAGGGTGCCGCAGGAGGAGGGGAGTTTGCGCGGAGCGTGCGGGAGGCGGCGATGAGTCTGGTGCCGCCTGGGGGGGCGGGAGATGCCGAGGGTGATGGCCGGATTCAAACTCCGACTGATTACCAAGAATTTGCTACGACTGCAGGCACCCCCGATTCCGCCGCCGACACCAGCACTCGGATGGCACCCAGCTCGACGCCTTCGAGCGTCTCCATCGGCAAAAAACCCATGGCGTACGGCCAGCAGCAGCCCGCCAACCCCCCCGCTCCCCGCAGCGCGCGCGCCGCCGCAAAGGCACCCGTTCCCAACAACTACCCGCCCGCACAGGACAAGCCAAAGCCACCCGCGAACAACAAGATATGGAGTACGAGCACCAGCGAGGAGCGCGAGCGCATCCGCGACTTCTGGCTCGCCCTCGCAGAAGACGAGCGACGGGACCTCGTCAAGGTCGAGAAGGACACCGTCCTCCGCAAGATGAAGGAGCAGCAGAAGCATTCGTGCTCGTGCGCCGTCTGTGGCCGGAAGCGGTGTGTTCCCAGCCACTCTCTGTAACGGCACCCTCATCGTTATCGCACTGATCTAGGAACGCAATCGAGGAGGAGCTACAGGTGCTGTACGACGCGTACTACGAGGACCTCGAGCAGTACGCGCTCTACCAGCAGCAGTACCTCTCTTCGAACCGAACGCTTCCGCCCCCGCCTGGCCCGGGCCCGTTCCCCGGGAGCGTCGAGGTCGACCGCTACGGCGCCGTGGTCGCAGGCGCGGTCGGCTACCCGCCCGCGGCGCCTGCACGGAAGGCGCGGCTGCGCCACCGCAGGAAGGCCAAGGCGGCCGCGGAGGCGGACGTGTACGAGGAGGAGGAGGAGCCCAGTGCGGACGAAGAGGGGGACGAGGACGGGGAGGAGGGCGAGGAGGAGCCGCCCGCGCCGCCGCCTGCCGTGAATGGGAATGCAAATGCGGGAAGGGGGGGAAGGGCGGTAAGAGGTGGGGGGAGGGGCGGGGGGCGAGGAGGTGTGGATATGAAGGGCAAGATCGCGGCGGGCGTCGGCGCCGGCGTGGGGGGTGAGTTTCTTTGTTCTTTCGGCTCTTTTTTTCTCGACCGCCCGCGTTCGAATCGCTTTCATCCCCGACTTGTCGGGGTTGTCGTGTCGTCGCGACGTATCAGGCTAGTCCTGGCGTCGGCTCGGCGGGGTCGACCGCCACTTCACTCTATCGCTTCCGCTCCCCCATCACTCCTCCCTCCCGACGGCACTGCATGCGCATGTAGCTTCCGTCCTCCCTCCACTCCCTCCGTCCGCTCCCTCCGTTCTTTCACTTTCACTTCACTTTTACTTCATTTCACCTCCCGCCACTCCGCTCGTGTGCCACCTGACCTCTTGATCCCCGTCCCCGCTACATTGCTTTATTTATCCGTGCACCCGTCCATCCTCTCCTCGTCCGTCCCATCCCTCCGCACCATTCCGCCCGTCGCCCGTCGCGCACCCCAACTCCCCTCCCGCCTTCGCCTCCGCCTTCCCATCCTCCCATTCCTCCATTCTCCGTCCTTCTGCCCGTTTTGATCCTCGTCCCGTCCTTCCTCCCCGCTCTTTTCCTTTCTACTCCCACATTCGGCTCCTTCCTCCCGCCGCACCACCTTCCCGTCCCATCCTCCCTTCCTCCCCGTCGCATATTTCTCCTCCCCCCATTCCTCCGATCTCCGTCCATGCTCCTCCCTTCCCTCGCCCTCTCCCTCTCCCTCTTTCCTCTCTTTGCATTTCTTCCCTCGCCCACCTAACGGTTACTAACCCTCGCACGCAGGCCCGACGAGCATCCTCACCGTCGCGGACGACCTGCTCAAGAACGACGGGCAGAAGTTTCTGGAGATGATGGAGCAGCTCGTGAGTTCTTCGTTTCTCTTACTCTTCGAGTTTTGGAGACGGCTCCCTTTTGGGCGCCCGCATCCTCTCGCGACGGAGTGTCCTCCTGCGATTTGCATCGCGATTGCGCTCTTGCGACGGAGTGTTCTTGCGGCGTCTCCTTGCGAGTTCGTGTCGTCGAGCGCGCTTTTTGTCTGAGGGGTGGGATGCGTTTTTTGGATGAGATGCGTTTTGGGGGGGGCGCGACGGGATGCGTTTCTTTTGCGTTTTGGGCGACATCCCTTGAGGGACGAACGCACTTGTTTTGCCCGGCGCGGAGCTATGGGGAACGCCCGTGTGCGGTCGTGTGCCCCATCTTGCTTTGCGCTCGTTCGTTCGGTGCCCGCTTCCACGCGCCGAGCTCGAGCGGCGAGCGGCGTCTTTTCTTTATTCGTTCTTCGCTCCTCGCACCATCATGCAGTTGGCCGTTGTTCGCTTCCCCACCGGGGCTGTCGCCTGACAGCGCTTTCTCTTCGTATCGAATGTATTGAAACGGAACCGACACTGACCTTTTTTTTCTTCTTTTTAGGCGGAGCGCCGGATGCAGCGCGAAGAGGAGGCGGCGGGGGGCGTTAGCGGGGATGAGGTGCGATCCCTTTTCCTTCGTCTTTCTTCGCCGACTGACTTGACTTAACTCACCCTCAGGACGACTCCGCCTCGGACGACCTCGGCTCAGACGACGACGCCTCCGCCTCGGGCGACTCCGCCGACGAGGATGACTCGGAGGGGGAGGACGAGGGGGAGGACGAGGACGGGGAGGGGGAGGATGGGGAGGACGGGGAGGGCGAGGACGGGGAGGGGGAGGGGGAGAGCGGGGATGAGGAGGGGGGGGAGGAGGTGTGTGGATTTCTTTTTCTTTCTTTGGAGGGAGATGCGTCTTGGTATTTCCACGATCGCGTCTTGGGGTCTTCACGAGGGCCGGGGTCGGTTCTCGGGACGAAGAGGAGGGTCCTCCGGCTTCGGGAGTCGTTCCTCGCGGAGAGCGATTCGCTCGCGACTCGACCGCTTCGCCCCATGACTCGCGCCTCCTCTCGTTATTTCCCCATCGCCTCGACGTCTCCCCATTGCATCTCTGAGCTACATGCTAACTGCGCGCCCAGGTTATGACGGAGGAGCAAAAAATGGAGGAGGGCAAGCGGATGTTCAGCATCTTTGCGGCGCGGATGTTTGAGCAGCGCGTGCTGCAGGCGTACCGGGAGCGCGTGGCGCAGGAGAGACAATTGCAGCTTTTGCGGGAGGTGCGTTTTCTTTGTTCTATTATGTTCCGGCGCCTGCGACGCACGCGCGGGAGGGACAGGGCACAAGAGTTGAGCTGATATATGTTTATTTCGCAGCTGGAAGACGAGGATGAGCGGGAGCGGGAGAAGGAGGCGAAGAAGCAGACGCAGAACCAGAAGAAGAAGGATAAGAGGCGGTGAGTCGGATGGGAGATTGTGTTGAGCTCCGCTGACGGGCGTTCGTTTGTAGGCAACAAAAGCAGGCCAAGGAAGAGAAGGAGGCGCAGAAGGCGGCGGAGAAGGCTGCCGAGGAGGCCGCCGCCAAGGCGAAGCTCATCGCGCAGGAGGAGGAGCAGCGCAAGCGCCGTGAAGAGGAGCGCGTGCGCCGCGAGGCCGTGCGCAAGCAACAGGAGGAAGAGAAAGCGCGCAAGGAGGAT